TGCCAGGCTCTGCTCCTCCCTGCAGGGTAACTTGGCTGCCTCAGTCCTTTCCTCCTTTTTAAAAACTGACCTGATCTGGATGGTGTTTCCAGGAAATGTGCTGTCTGAGGAAGCAATCGACTGGAGATGTGAGCGTGGAGGTCAATGCCTGCCCCGGCCCAGACCTCAGGAAGATCCTGGAGGAGATGAGGTGCCAGTATGAGACACTGATTGAACGCAACCGCAAAGAAGTTGAGGATTGGTATGAGTGCAAGGTGAGTAAATTCCCACAGCTCTGACCTTCCCCAGCTAACACCCAGGCAATGGTCCCCCAGGGACTTAAACCTTTAAACCATTAAAGCCACACAACAGACCATAATAGCATTTAGAATTGGCTCAAAGTGACCAAGTGACACAGGGGAGGGATGCTGCTGCCCTGTGCCCTTGTCATGGGGTGAGGGAAGCACTCCATGCTGGTGAGACTTGAGGCAGGAATTCTCTACAAGGCCGTAAGTGGTGAGAAGAACTGGAAGCAGAACTGTTAGAAGAGCAAGAGGAATGACCAGCAGGGTTTACACTCCATTAGGATGAGAGTTTTCACCCAAACCTTTCTCATTTCAAGTTTTTGCCAACTTCTCTGCTCTTTCCTTAATACTTAATCTGACTTACAATGGACCTTCCCTAAATTCCCTCTTTACCCTGGATTGGTGATTTCAGATTGAGGAGGTGAATCGGGAGGTTATTACAAGTGGTCAGGAGGTGGAGACGTGCAACAACCAGGTGACCGAACTGAGACGCCAATTGCAAGCCCTGGAAATCGATCTCCAAGCTCAGCTCAGCCAGGTGGGTGACGAGCTGGTGCAAAGCTCAGCCACCTCACAGAATTTGCAGCTAAACGCAGCGTTTCTCCTGCCTGTATTTGCATTGTGCCCCTTGTCACTCCTCAGAGGGACAACCTGGAGTCCTCGCTGGCGGAGACAGAGTGTCGCTACAACAACCACCTCGCTGAGCTCCAGAGCCAGATCACCTGCGTGGAGCAGCAGCTGGCTGACCTGCGGGCAGAGATGGAGTGCCAGAACCAGGAGTACAAGATCCTGCTGGACGTCAAGTGCCGCCTGGAGCAGGAGATCCACACGTACCGCTGCCTGCTGGAGGGCGGCCAGCAGGACCTTATGTAAGTGGGCCTGAGACTCACCAAAAAGTTCAGTGGAACACCCGTGTCCTGGTTATTTCGGCGTAAGAGCAAAGGGAAGGTCCTTCTCCCTTACTGACCTACTCGGGGTGCCTGGTGCCAATGGTGGGGACCTGCTGCCCTGCCTGTGCCAGCTGCTGCCACGAGGAGAGCGGTCACTGAAACCTTCAGCCGATTTTCTGCCAAAAAGGGAACCTGACTGAGAGCAGCCGGGACACTGAAAATCTGTAGCTCTAGTTTGTCTGTCCTTTCCCTCACTAAAATGTTATTTTCTGTCCCCTCAGTCAGCAAGGAGGAATTGGTCAGTCTTCGGGTCTAGGAGGAGGAGTTGCAAGAAGCAGTGGGATAGGAGGAGGAGGCATCATTAGGACAAGCCACACTTACACTTCGTCTGCCCAGATCCCATCCTGTGCAGCTGCGGAGATCCAAGGTAAGAACTGCCCCACTCTGAGGGTTTCCACAGTTTCCTCTGCTCTAATGCAACACGGATGGGCAGGAAGAAAGATCTTTCCCAGGCAGCTCACAGATGTACTTGAAAGTTTTATTGTGGGGCCCCTGGGAAATACAGGATGGGAGGCACAGAGGAGTGGCTGAGAGGAGAGCTTTTGGGAGCTGGGACTCTGCTGAGACACAGGAGAGCTGCCAAAGGGAGGAGGGGAAGAGGGATAAAAGGGAGAGGGACAGAGTCAGCAGGCAGGCAAGCCATGGACAACATGGAGAAAGGACTGACATGAGATGGGGGACAGAGGAAAGAGCAGGAGAAAGCAGAGTGCTCAGAGATCAAGGTGGAGGTAGAAAAAGCAGGAATCATGGGAATACTGGCAGATAGCTGCTAGTCCTAGTTCAAGAGGAAGCTTCCAGCCAAACTGAAAAGGAAAGAATGAAAATGAGTTGGTCCAGGAAATGAGGGTGAGCGGGGGCATTACTCCGGCGCAGACCCCAGTGCCATTCCCTCATCCACATCTCCAGCTTCCACTGCCTGGCATTTTTATGGAGAAGGGCAGCCTGTGCTACAGCACAAACAGATCCATCTGCCTGGCTGGCAGGAGCCATCAGACCTTCCCAAGAAGGGGCAGTATTTATCTGAAGTTCTAATTGAATTGGCTTGTGAAATGATCACGTGTGGGGAATGACAGTGTGGGAAAGAATCCATTTTTGCCATAAACACTGTAATGTTTCCTTTGATCTCTCCAGTGCCTTGCCGAAGGATTTGTGATTAAGCAGAGAAACAAGAATATCCAAGAGGAGCCTGAAGCAGAGCTACGGATGAAGAGAGAATATTTACTGCATGTGTCTGCAGAGAGCACGGGGTGTGCTCGTCTGCGCCGCTCAGCCGTGCTAAGCAATGTGCCAGAGGGATGAGCAGAGCGTTGGGCCACATTCTGCTTTGGTTTGCTGTTTGCTTTTCCAGTCTGTGTTGCTGTGTGTGGCCCAGCACCACGACTATTGCTGGAGTCAGCCAGTGATCAGCCATCACTAGTGTACCTGCTGCTGAAAAATGTCTCTAATAAAACTTTGCTTGTGCCTGATGCAATCAAGAACGTGCGTCTGAGGCTGAGTTTCTTTAGAACACCAGGGGGTGAGCCATGGGCACACGGGGCACCTAAACTGGTCGGGGTCATCCTGCACTGGGAACAAAGCTGCTTTGCCAGCAGGAGTCAGAGAGTGGCCTCACTGACCTGGCAGGTCTTGTCCCACTGCTCCCTGTCACAGCCTGAGGCAGATGTTGCCTGTTCCTGCATCACCCACACGGACAGGCAGGTCAGGAGACACTTGTGTCCTTCCCACACAGCACTGGGCTAAAACACAGCCCTAGAAAAGTTCTGAGCGTCACTGGTGGAACATCTGGAGACAGTTTGCCTCAGTCCCAGTCTAGTGCTGACACATCTGGGCTGGGCCCTCTCATACTCCATCACCCAGCCTGGAGGTTGTGATTAGGGTGAAGAGGAAATCTTGGTCTCCACAACTGATTCAATTTCTCCTGACATGGCTTATGTTTGGACCTATTCCTTTAATTCTATAGAAATCTTCCCACTGGGAAAAGGACTGGAGGCAAAAGGTTTATCTCCTCTATTTTCCCACAGTGACTGAGTCATTTACTGGTCATCCTTCTATTGCAAAGAGTTTCAACCTGAACATCAGGAATGGTTGGAAGATCATCTTTAGATGAAACACACCTTGTCTGGGGAGCTGGGGAGGGCAGGGTGGGAGCTGAAAATGAGCAGCTCAACAGAGAACAGAATGGAGAAAAAAGCCACAGAGGCACTCAAACCTCACAGGTAAGACAAGGATCACTCCCTCTTTGGGCCTCGAACAGGAGCTGCTGCTGAGCCAGTGTGTCCTGGCACTGACCTGCCCTGAGGCACTCTGGGTTTGCAGAACTTGCAGTTAAAAGCATTATGAGGGTGTTTGGAGGATTAAAGTGTTGGTCCAGAAAGCCAAGCAGTGACGGGTGACTGTGATGTGGCTGCTACAGAGTAAGATTCACCCGTGACATGACCTGGCGAAGCAAAACTCCTGGTCACTCCTTTTCTGTCAAGGGCTGGAGGTTATGGGCCAGCAGGCTCAGGGCAGGAGGAGGACAGGTAGAAAGAGAAAACCACTTCAGGACTGTACATACAGCACACAGTTCTGCTGCCAGTGCTTCCATACTCTCCTGATACTGAAACGGGCTTTACACGGCAGCAAGTCCCTGAAGAAGTTTAACCACTAAAGTCTCAGGGAGCAGGTGAAAGGTGCCCTTGGAGAGAAGATGTCTCAGTAGCATTTCTTTTATTTCATCTACCAGACACTGAGCTCAAGAGTATCCATGGGCAAGACAAGACAATGTAGCACTGGAACACCTGCAGTGACCAAAGTGGCCAAAGGTAGAAGCTTTTAAACCAAGACTCTAAATCAAGTCATCTTTAAATATAATACATATTGTGCCTATAGTGGCAAATTTCTGTTGGTCTCCTCTGGAGCTCAGCTGTTCTGAGCTCTGAGAAGTCAAAAAAGCAAACCTTTCCCTTTTCCATTCCCATTGTCTCCTCCTGCCTCGTTCAGTGCAAAGTCAGACAGTGAGATAACCCACTGCTGCCCTTTCCGGCCTCAATCCTTCCCAACCTACGAGTCCTCACACTCTCATTTCTAAAAATATAAAGGCACTGCACTGAGGCCCTTCCAGTTTCCATTCTTCTGGAAACTCTCGGCCATGTAAGATATATAAAAACTTGCCACTCTCTCCTGGCAACCCCATCTGATTCCCAGCTCTGGGTTGTTCCTCCTCTTGCGAACTGTTGCTGACATCTAGCTGCTCCTCCAGATTCCCTGGGCTCCTGCACAGACCTCCCACCCCTCCCACCACGGCCGAAGCGTGCGCTTTCACAAAGGAGCTGTCCTAAATTCCTGAGAGGTGAAAGAGACCTAATGACATGGTCAGAAGGACTCTAATGATCCAGACATGATGAATATGCCTCCGGAAAGCCCCCTGGGGGAGGGGGTACAGCCTCAGCTCCTGGGATGCTGTGATGTTGTTTGTGGACCTATGAGTTGGGACGCACCTGGAAGGCAGCTCAGGAGAGGCAGCTTATGATTAACAGTCCCCCAGCAGAAAACACCCTGGAAACACCCCATTTATTAAAGAGCTGCAAATTATGGAGCTGCAACCATTGGAAACTACATTTCCATAAGATTTCCGTATTTCTTTGTGCTAATGAGACAGACCCAGGAAGCTTAGGAGTTCAAGTAACTGAATGAAAATAGGAGGAAAAGCTTAATTTAATCTTTTAATGTTTCAGAAAACAATCACTTAATTTTATCTTAGTTTAACTGGTGCCCTCATTTCCTGAAGACAAACAGGAAAAATAGCGAGGCAGAGGGAAGTGTGTGTGGTTTGAAGCTCCTGGGCATAGTTTAGGTGGGTCTGAGGGGGCCGAGGTGTCCGGAGGGGTCAGGAGCCGTCCCTGCAGTGGGCACGCAGACACCCTCCCCTCCCACGGAGCAGTGTCAGCCCGTGTTCCTGCCTGTGCTGCTCTGATGTGCTGCAGTGATAACTGTGGAGCCGGGGAGGAATGTGTGCTCACTCAGGAGAGATGCTGCAGACAGCTGTTGGGAAACTCCTGAGGAATCATCTGCAGCCCAGGCGAAGCTTCCAGCGCCGCAGCTCTCGGCAGTTTCGGTCCGTTCCTGCCGCCACGCCCTGGCTCCCAATTATGTTCTCGGGTCCTAGGAATGAAATCCAGCTGTTTCTCCCTATACACAGTAACTTTATTAGAGGTTTTGCCTAATCTGAGCTTTGTTTCTGTGTGTTTGGGGCTGGAGGGAGGCCCAGCGTGTGGCAGGCAGGGAGGCACCACGGCTGGGCCCAGCTGCAGCTCTGCCAGCGCCGAGAGCTTTGTCTTTGAGTAAAATCACTTTGGGAAGTCTCTCCACACCCGTCTCCAGCTTGCTGGAGATATCACTGGAATGCTGCTGGCTATTATGGCGCTGGATAAGGAACATCCAAGGAGGCAAAGATAAGGGAAGGCGTCTTTTCAACAGAAATAAGAGCAATAAAATGATGGGTAAATCCACAAATACTGGGATAATTCAGTCCTTTGGTAAATGGGATCATTTACCTTCCATAACAAAACCTATTTCAGTTGATAATGCCATTTCAGCGAGAGTTTGAAGTCACTCTTCCCTGGTGAAGCAGGCTTGTAGAATTTCTTACAGGGAATGGTTGGTTTCAGAAAGCTCAGGAATGCCTGTCCCTTGCTCCATGGCCACTGGAACAGGGGCTCCCAGGGACAGGTCCAGTGGTCTGGAGTCTCAGCAAAACATCTCATGAAAATGAGCTGAGCCTCACTTTTGATGTCAGAAGTGTGAAAGGATCCCTAGTTTTTATTTTCCCTGCCTAGTTAAGATTCAGAAATTTTACTGACAGAGAAACTCTGGTTTGTACCAAACCCACCTTTTCCAAGCCCATGTGGAGCTGCAATGGGCAGCGACTGCTCTGCAGCTCCATCAGCAGCTCTGTCTTTATATGTGCCAGGACAGCAATCCCGAAGCTCTGATTAGAGCACAGCACATATTGACAGAGAAATTGGCCATAGGATGTTTCCACTCCCATCCACTGTTTCACCACCCTTTCCCAGCAACAATTACAATCCATAATGAGGAAAAGTGTAGAAATTATCTTTCACTGAACAACAGGAAATATTTAAAGCACTTTTACCTTCCTTTACACTCTCCACATAATGAAACAAATCCCTTGTGAATTACTGGAGAGCCACAATCATATATGAAGAACCTTTCATCCGTGTCTATTAAGAGATCCCTCCTTGGTCTCACTTGTCTCGTAGCAGAGTGTTCCAGATTTGTCATTTTGCCAGTGGAGAGATTTAAAGGTTAATCTCTGTGTCTCTGATCTCTCTACAGAGTTCTTACATCATTCCTCATACATCATTCGAGAAGCAAACTTAGTATTTCTTCTTTCTTTTTCATCTTGCATATTCCAACCTCAGCACCTTGCATGAAAACTGCTTGTTCAACTCAAAATAAAATGAAAATAAATTAATGAGAGATAAAGAGCTCTTTGATGCAATAACCTTTAATGATTTCTTCCTGGTATGTAATTTAGGACAGTGTTTTTCCTGGCTTAATGCTGTAAGTTTGCATCATAAACAAAAAGCTGATGATTCATAAAACATTATTGCTAATGTATTTTTGAAATTAGCAAGAGACATGTAAAGCATCTTCCTCGTCTACCAGGCTTCTTGAAAGGAAACTTCCCTTTGAGAAATTATTCTTGGCACCAATGGCTGGAGTAGCCAGCCTTATGGGAAGAAGGAGCAGTGGTGACACCCACTGTGGAAGGTATAAATAGGGATGGGCGGCCACGGCCAGCTCGCAGTCTGATTTCATATCAAGCTGTGCATCTTGCTTTGGGCTTCTGCTTGCCTTGCCAACCGCTGTCGCCATGAGTTGCAACATTAAGGAGACTATTACTGTGTCTAGCAAAGGCAGGAGCAGTGGTGGCAGCTGTATCATTGGTGGTGGTGGTGGAGCACGGATTTCTTCCTATGGGATAGGCAGTGCCAGAGGTTTCTCTGGAAGGAGCTACTGCGGTGGAGTGAATTATGGAGGGGGACTGAGCGTTGGTAGCTTGGCTGGTGGGAGCTATGGAGGTGGCAACTGCTATGGCAATGGCCTGGGCTTTGGCCTCGGAGGAGGGGTGGTTGTTGGGGGTCTCGGTGGCGACTGTTTGCTGTCGTCCTGCGATGAGAAGGTCACCATGCAAAACCTCAATGACCGCCTGGCCTCCTACCTGGACAAGGTGAAGTGCCTGGAGAAGGAGAATGCCGAGCTGGAGTGCAGGATCAGAGAGTGGTACGCGACACAGGGCCTGTCCTGCGAGCCCCGGGACTACAGCTGCTACTACAAAGAGATCGAGGACCTTCAGAACCAGGTAATGCCCCTCTGGGTTATTCTCCCCATTGACAGCTCATTGCTGAATTTCTGTTTAGAACCTGCTGCACTTGTCGGGGGAACTTTGGTGCTGCTGAATGTGTTCACAAACTAATTTTGGCAAGTTCCCCTATGACACTGCTGAGTGTGGGGGCACATCAAGGATGGGTGCTGCAAGGTGGTACGGGTGGGAGAACGTTCTGGAAAAGGGAAAGGATGTTTTGGTACATTGTGTTTGGACTGTACAACTGTAAATAGGGTATTACCAGTGTGCTCTGAGGAAAGGTAGTGGTGTCAGCTCTGTAGGGGAAGCAAAGCAAAGAGAACTATGGAACAAGGGCAAAACATACACATTGAATGCTTTATGAAGTGAAACATTATAAATTCTAGGTGAGAAAAGCTGTGTATTGAAACTGATTGTCACAGGGGCACAAACAGCCTCACACTAATAAATCCACAATAAAAGCTGATCCTAAGGCTTAAAGTAACCTTTCAACCATCTTCCCTGAAGTCCCTTAAGTCTGAAGCCCAGAACACTCCAGCTTGAATATCAGTTGAGATTTAGTGACTTAAGGAAGGTTCTTCAGGTTCACTTTGTGAAGCCTCTTTGGAACTTGCCTTCAGATCTTGAAACTGAGATGCCTCATCTCACAGCTCTTTAACTCCCAGCCTCTACATAATTGATCTCTTTACTGACTGTGAGTAAAGGAGGCAAAGCCCCCTCCTTCACCTTCTCTGCTCAAGGAACTAGGTTACTTAAGTGAGAAGGAAACAGAAAAAGGGAATTGTGCAGGGTTACTGCCTAACTGCAATGCAGAAAGACCTACAGAGTAGAACAGGAGAGAAGGAGACATCTCTCATGCTCTGCTCTTTTCCAGATTGTCTGTGCAACCATTGATAACAACAAGATCATCCTGGACATCGATAACAGCAGGATGGCTGCCGATGACTTCCGTGTGAAGTGAGTGCCCCCTCTGAACCTGCTGCCTCCCCCCTGCTCCTTCCCACCTCGCTGGGGAGGCTCAGAGCACCAATTACAGAGGCTCCAGACAGGTCTCCCCACACCACTGTGGTAGGGCAGGATGATGAAAGGCATTTTGCTCCTGGTCACCAGCCCTCCCTTAATTAGTGTTCTTGGGTAAAACATTTAGCAACAGCGTTTGTGGTGAGGCTGGGGACGGGCACTGCAGGGAGTGGTCCATTTCCACCCCAGACCAGAACAGATGGGATCAGCAAAGCAGAAATGCAGCTGAGTAAGTGATACCAAATACACAGCGAGCAGGAGCAGGGAAAAACCAGCTGAGGAAGGAAAGCTCTCACATAATAGACATGAAGTGGTGCAGAAATCCGAGGCACGGTGCATTCAGCATGGACAGCAAACGCAGACCACAGCAGGGAGCTGGGAAAGGAGATCTGGGCACAAAGAAAGCCCGTGTGGGATGTTCTCATCCTGAATCTGTGCTTCCCTGCACAACCCAGGTACGAGACGGAGCTGGCCCTGCGCCAGAGCGTGGAGGCCGATATCAACGGGCTGCGCCAGGTCCTGGACCAGCTGACGCTCTGCAGGTCCGACCTGGAGGCGCAGCTGGAGTCGCTGCGGGAGGAGCTCTGCTGCCTGAAGAAGAACCACGAGGAGGTAGGTCCTGCCCCTC